GCGAGTTGCTTGTATGTGTAGTAATCTAGAAACGAAGCGGTGCGTGTCTCGCTTCCCACTCTCCCCTCCCCTTGCCATTCCCACGCGAGAGTGACCCTCTGGCTGCGGGCACCAGAGTGGGAAGTGAGCCCACAGAGCATCTTCCAAGCCGAAAACTGGCTCCCTCCCGTGAGCCCGGCTCTCCTCGCCAGGCGTCTAATTCAGTTTAGCTACTAATTAGTTTTGTATTACTTTACACGCTGATGTTAATACTGATTACAGGGCCTGATAACTTTAGTAATAAATACCACCCAAGGCAGAAAATTACCGTTTTTTTTTTTAGGAAAGACTGGAGTCAGTGGAATAAGAAGCAAATTGCTTTCGGAGATGACGCAGCTGCTGGGGTTGAGGATTTACAGCCTAAGTTGGGAGTGTCCCTCTCCTGTGGAGTCCCCCAGGGCAGTGGCCAACTGCTGCATGAACACGGAATAAATTCCACGCGTTCTGAACTAACCGGTTCAGGAAAAGACCCCGGAGCTCCCCGAACCCCCACACCCACACCCACTACCACTCAGTGTCCAGGGCAGATGTGGACCTAACGCCAGGGGAGGCGAGGGGCTGGGGCAGGCGGACAGGAAGTCAGTGGGTCATCCGGCCTGAATTTAGGCTCGAGCATGTGACAAAACGTGGGTGTTTGATTCTCGTTATGTTTGTTCAGGGGAGTGGGTTGGGGTCTTCCACTGTAGAGCGAACTGAGTCTGAGGACGAGAGAACAGATTTGCAGTGATGGGCCTCGGCGGGGTTCTGAGGGGCGGACGCCCCGCCAGACCCTCTGGAACCCCTGTCCTATCCACACTCAGCACCCACCACACCTCCCCGATGGGAGCCCAGGGTTTGCTCACCTCGCTACTCAGGCGCCTAGACCGGCAAACAACTAATCAAAGTCGGACCCAAGCACATAGCAGTCACCCCATAAAGCCTGAAGGCAAACGGCAAGCACAGCTGGCACTCAAGGATGCTCTGTGCTCACATACAGCTGGAGCCCCAACAGGGTATCGGGGGCGTTATGTCATTAGGAAAGGCCACGCCTGGCTTGGGGTTAGCCCAGCTAAGGAGAAGGGCTCACGTCACTCTTCTTTTTTTAGCTGAGCCCTCCTGCCACCTGTGGGCAGCTCAGCTCTGGCTGGGAATCGAACCGGCGACCCTGTTGCTCAGAGCTCGCACTCTTGAGCGAGCTCTTAACCAACTGAGCCACTCGGCTGGCCCCCGTTTCACTGTTAAATAAAAATCCTCAGCACACCTTTACTGAGCCCTGGATCTGAGCACCAAGGTGTTCCCCGCCCGTCCCCCCTCCCCCTACCGTCCGTCTTCGCTTCGGCCTCTGCGTGCAGCCCCCCTTCTGCCCACCTGTTCCTGCCCCATCTTCCTGCCCCGGCTCACTGCTGGACCCAGCTGCAACCTTGGGGCTCTGCTCACACGTCACCCTTCTCCACGGCTTCCTCCAGCTCCAGAGGCAGACCTCCCTGGGATCCCACTTGGTGCAGACTCTCGTGCCTCTTCAACAAATAATTACGGCGGGCCCTCTAGGGTTCCCACAAAGCCCGTCAGCCCGATGCCAGATGGCGAGGCTCGGACTAGCTCAGCACTGTGAGCCCAGGTTTGACAGTGTGAAACCCGACCAGCTGGCATCCCAGAACTGGGTGAGGAGAGAGGGATGGGGGAGCAGCTGGAAGAATGGGACTGGGGATCGTAGTAGGGAGACTTCCTCCAGAATCATCTAGTGGAATCTCCTTGTTCCGAAAGGTGGGAGTGGCGGCTGCGAGGTCAAGAGCCTCTCTCGAGGTCACCAGACAGTGCCTGGGAGCTCGCGGTGAGAATAAAGGCAGCTGGGCTCAAGGTCATTGCTACAGAGCTTCCCAGCCCTTTCACACCATCACACACAGGGAACGTGCTTCTATCTGAGGTGGGCCGGGAGCTTGGGGAGCCCTAGCGCTGCCCAGGCACCCCAAAGAACAGAGAGACCTACTCCTTCCTGTTCTGGCTGGGAAACTCCATAAAATGCTTCTCAAGGAGTGTGAAACGTCAGCCTTTATTGAAAATCACAGAGCAAGATCAAGTAAAACATCTTTCTGTCCGAGGTCAAAGTTCACCTGGGCCCACAAGCCTGGCGCGTAGTAGGCCATCGATCAATAGTTGGCATGTGACAGAGTGGCTCATCGTAAGCGAGCCGTCAGGGCAGATGGGCTGGCCACGTGCTCCGCTCCCACCGCCTGTCTGCCTGAGCCCTCCCAGAAGCATTCAGAGCATGCAGGTAAAAGCCGTATGTCCCTCACTGGGTCCCAGCTCAATGCAGGCTAATCCGTAAGCAGAGTGACTCTGGACCCGCGCGTCCCTCGGAAGGGCCCTGAAAGTGAGGACGTGGCTGTGGGAGCAGTTTACCTAAAGTGGAGAGGGAAAGGGTGGAGGGAGACATACCACACAGCTCAACCACCAGCGAGAGCTCTGTTCTCCCTCCCCTGAAGCCCAGGGGTAGTTCATCCATTTACAAAGGTAAGGCACATCCCTCAAGGGACCCTGTACTGTGGCCCCTTAGCGTCGAATCACTTTGGGATCAAGAAGCAAGATTCTTGGGCACGGATGTCCCCGCGTAGCTCTCCGATTCAGAGCACCCCAGTCCTGCGTCCACACCCACACCCACTCCCACTCCCAGGCCCCACCCTAGAAGGCGCTGCTAAAGGCAAGACGCACCTGGCCCAACCCCAGGGGGTGGGGACAAAGGCGGCCAGGGTCTCTAGAGCTGGTGGCCAAACCAGCCACTCTCTGACCCCTTATGGCTGGAGCGATTTCCGCTAGTTGAGCCTTTCCTCTAAAATCTCACCACAATTAGGGACAACAGGCCTCCCATGGAAGACTCTGAAGGCTCAGAGGCGGCACAGGGAGGGGAGGGCCATCCTCGCGCGGTGGGGCGAGGGGAGGGAGGCGGTATCTCCTGGCTGGCTGGCCGCCCTGAGGGACATGTTCCCCTGAGCTCCCAAGCTTTGCTTCGGGGAGAGGAACCTCCTAAAGAAAACATTTCCCGGGGAGGGTAGCGGCCTGGGGAGCTGACCAGGGTCCTGAGCAGACAGTCGGGATGCAGGGCAAGGATGCAGGGGTGTGAGGGAGAGGTGTGTGTGTGCGCGTGTGGTGTGGTGTGTGTGTGTGTGGTGTGTGTGGTGTGTGTGTGTAAGTGTGTCTGTGTGTGTGTGTGGTGTGTGTGTGTGTGTGTGTGTGTGTGTGTGTGTGTGGTGTGTGTGTGTGTGGTGTGTGTGGTGTGTGTGCGTGTGGTGTGTGTGTGTGTGTGGTGTGTGTGTGTGTGGTGTGTGGTGTGTGTGTGTGTGTGTGTGTGTGTGTGTGTGTGAGAGAGGTGTGTGTGTGTGTGTGGTCTGGCCGAGGTTCAGATGGCCGCCACTGTTAGGGCGGATGGGCAAACGCTCTCACCACTGAGACAAAGCTTCCAACTGAAGTTGAACCAAAAGTTTTTTCCAAGAACAGGGGATTTTTTAAAAGACGTGAGGAGGAAAGCCTCTGGAGAGACGCACCCTGTGGTCTGGGAACGGCGGCTCAGGGTGCCTGGAGTAAGAGGACCCTTAGGCTGGGAGGGCCCTCGGGGCTGCCACTCGCAGGGCCACCCAAAACCAGCCACCTCTTCCCCAGAAGTCTGTACAAGGCGCAAGCTGTGACCGGGTACCTGCCTGGCTCCTTTCTGCTCGTGTGTGCTCACGCCTGTGGGGTGTGAGTGTGTGTGTGTGACTGTGCACGTGCACACATGCACCTGTCCACCCGCAGAGCACAAGCCCGCCCCTCGGCCAGGCCTGCCTGGCCGCCGAGAGAACTTCTCCCGCAGATGCCAGCTGCACCTCTTCAGGGCCACTGGCCATTGTCTGCAGCCTCTGAGGTTAAGTGGGACAGTGCCACTGGGCTGAGGCTGCACTTCCCGGGCAGAGCCAAGGAGTGGCAAGGGCTTCAGGCAAAACCAGGAAGCTTGTACCAGAGCCTTCTCTCCTGCGATCCACCCTGCACCCTCTCTTCTCTTTTGTTTCTTCTTTTGTTCCGAGAGGTGGGCATCTGAGGCCTGGGGCTGAGGTGTGGGCTGCCCTCTCACTTTCCCGGGCTTGCAGCTGCCAAGGGCCGGCCTCTCAGCTCAGAGCACGGCACAGTGGCACCACCGAAAGGGCGTTTTAATGTCACTGCCGAGCAGCCTGGCTCCCGGAGCTAACAGGCTCTTCCCAACACCATGGTGCCAAAGCAACACCGCCAGCCCGACGCTCACAGTCAGCCCTCCTCCTCCCAGACCTGCCAGCTCAGAAACACATTTTTAAAATGGAGAATACCAGCGGGAGACAGGCTTTCTATTGATACATTGTTCGGGGGATGATAAGCCCACTCGAAAAGCCCAGCGGTCCCCACACGCACACGGCAGCTCGCCACTCACACTTCATGCTGAGCATGTGGCCACAACACCCCCAGGCCCTCCACACTGAGCCCACAAAACACCCCAGCCCGGCACACGCCGCCTGCCCTTCCCGGTCTCGGTGGCACAACTGCCACCGCCTGCTTGGGGAGCTCCAAGGGCAGCGTTGTAACCAAAGGCAGGGACGTTGCCGAGGAGCGGGGTGTGGGGGGTGGGGTGGGAGTTAGGTCAGGGCTACCTCTGAAAATCCCGGGGGCTTAGACAGCCTGCTCTGTCACCCTCAGATGACAACAACAGCCAAAGGACCCCCTGTGCTGCCACTGGAACTTCTCGGCAGGGAGTAGGGGGCCCGCTGTGCAACCCCCGCTGGGCCAGGGCTGGGGGTCCTGAGAAGCTCGGCGCCAGTCTCGGTCCGTCTGCACCCCACCTCCCTCCACCCCAACCGCGGGGCTCGGGCGTCGGGGCAGGGGGCGCCGGCTGCGCGGAGCTGCTCCCCGACTTTGCCGGGCTCCCCTGGGGGCCGGGCGGGCGCCTGGCACGCACGGAGGAAAATGGCGTTGGATGCACGTACTTGAGTGAGTTCGGTGCCCATCAGGACGAGGAAGAGGAGGCCGAGGAGCTTCCGGGCGGGTTGCATGTCTCGCTGCCACCTCCAACGCCCTGGCGTGCAGGAGCCTGGTGCTCGCCGGCGGCGGCGGGGACGCGGACGCGCTCCCGGCTCTGCTGGCTCCGCGGCGGCACCTGGCCGTGTCCCCGCGCCTTCAGCACCGGGAGCCGGCGGCGCGCGGGGTCTGCTGCGCGGAGCCTCCGCTCTGCATATTGATCGGTCCCAGCTCCGCGGCCCGGGGCGGGGCGGCCCCTCCCGGCCCCTCCTCCCGGCCCCCCGCGCCCCGCTCGGAGGCGCGGCTCGCGGGCTGGTGCCAAAAGTTTGCTGGGAAGGGGCGGGGGCGGGTGGCGCAGAGGGACCCGCGCGCCACCGTCGCGCGCGGGAGCGGGGAGGGCGGCGGCCGGCGGGGAAAGCAGGCTGGGACAGGATGTGACATCAAACAGGCGGGGGAAATTTAAGTCGCGGAGAAAACTCCATCCTGGCCTGCAGCTGCCGCTGCTGCTGTCCGGGCCCCTGGGATCTGGGATCGGGGCGCAGGGGCGGCCAGTGCTGGGGACCCTGTGGCCTCCAGACGCCAGGAGCGGGCGCAGAGTGCGGAGCTGTGAGTGGCAGCTGGGGCGCAGGCCCAGGACGAACGTCTTGGCATCGCCGTGAGGTGTGGAACAGAAGAGCGGAGCGTGTCCTCAGAGGTCACCCTTTACTGAGAGAAACTGAGGCTCTGACCCAAGAAGGGTGTTCCAGGGCTGGGGGTGGGGTGGCGGGGGGGGGGTGCAGAGCTAGAAGGCAGCTTCCCCCAAGAAGCCTGCCTGCTGCAGGCACCTAGGAGAGCTGCTCACCAGCCAGGCGGTGGGCGTCCAGGCGCCCTGAGCCCGGCCCACCCTCCTACGTCCAGGCCTGGAGACCACCTTCAGTTGGTGTGGCGGGGCGGGTGCTCCCTCTCCATGTCACCCTGTGCTCTCCTTTCAGATGCACTCCCAGCCGGACATCCAAGTCTTCGACCACAGGGGTTTGTCCTGGGGGCCGCATTTTCCATTTTAATTCCTCACTTGGGGAGAGAAGTCCCCAAGCACCTTTATTTTCTGAGTAGATAGGGTGGCGGTCGTCATCTAGAAGCATGTCCCGTTGTTTAGCGCTCAGTCTTTGGAAAATAAACTCTATAAAGAAACTATCCGCCAGCAAGAGTCTCCCAATAACCACAGGAGGCGGAGCTGCAAGGGAGACGGGGCCCAGCCCTGTCACGTCACAGAAGGGGACACTAGAGCCTTGGGGCGGGGTGGAGGGGAACTCATGTCAGGTCACGCAGGGAGCCCTGAGCAAGGAGAAGATGCCAGCTCCTGCAGGGTCGCCATGCCACCCAGCACTGGAGGAGGCACCTTCTGGGTGTTGGGTGAGGGAGCTGAGCAAGTGTGCCTTGAGGAGAACAGATGGCGGTGCAGCGGCCATGCCTTCCCTTTCTGAGGGTCTGTCCTCTGAGCCCCAGAGGGCAGAGCTGCCCCGATCGAGACGCGAAGGTGAGCTGGACTTTCAGGGGTGGGCTTCCCACCTGGGAGGATTTCAAGCACAGAGTGCCTGGCGGTTTGCCCTCAGCCAGGGTGGACCTGAGGTTCTGAGATGGGAGAACAGGCGAGGCGAGCAGTGGGAGCTCTTTTTCTCTGTTTTTCTCTGCCCCCTCTTCTGTTTTATTTACCGGGGAGCGAATGAAAGAAAGCTGTTTGTAAGCCCTAGGGCCCCTGTGAGGGCTGAGAGGCAGCGAGGGATAGACAGAGAGCATTCCATTTGGAGCATGACTCTCTTCTGAGTCGTGGCTCTCAGCCTCAGTTTCCATTTCTGTAGAATAGGAACGAGTGGTGCCAGCACTGCATGTCTTGAGAAGATTCAGTACAAGAATGGGTAAAAACATCTGCACACTGTATTTTAAAATCTTCGATGAGAAACATTGAAAGAACTGTGACGAAGTTGCCAAGAGTGAGTTGAGCGCCTTCGGCACGCTGGGCACCCCACCTCAGTTTCTCCCTCAGCCTTGGCCCTCTGCCGCTGTCCCCTGCAGGAGAGGACAGAGGCTCAGCCTGGTCGCGGAACTGGGATGCAAAGCCTGGTCCTGGGGGCTTTGTTTCTATGCGACGAAGAGGAAGCCGCCTTGATTTCCTCGTGTGGACTGAGATCTAACATCCAACTTTAGAAGGATCGTCTTTGTTTTCAAACCCGCTTCTGGGTTCACACCCAGAGGCAGTGGAGCAGAGTCTGCAGCAGATGTTTGCGCCCCCACGTCCATCGCAGCGTCATGCACACTCGCCCCCAGATGGAAACAACCCAAGTGCCCGTTGACGGGTGACAGATAAACAAAACGTGGTATGTTCACACAGTGGAGTATTATTCAGCCTTAAAAAGGAAGGGAATTCTGACCCATCTTACAACACGGGCGGACCGTGAGGACATCATGCTGAATGAAGCAAGCCTGTCACAGAAGGACAAGTGCTGTGTGCGTCCCCTTACAATATGTGGCACCTACAACAGGCAGACTGATAGAGGCTGAAGGAACTCCTGGGCTGGGGTGGGGGTGGGAAGAAGGGGGAGAGATTAGATTACTTAATTTCTGTTTGGGGTGATGAAAAAGTTTCGGAAATAGACAGTGATGATGGTCGCACAACATGGTGAATGTAATTAATGCCACTGAATTGTACACTGAAAAGTGGCTAAAATTTTACTACGTGTGTGTGTGTGTGTGTGTATAAATAAATAAATAAATAAATATTTATATATATATATAATTGTCTTACCACAATTGAAAGAAATAATGATATATTATACCAACAACCTTTGATTTGTACACTTTAAATGGGTGCTTTGTCAGGTATGTGAATTATATCTTAAGAAAGCTGATTTAAAAAAATTACAGACTCGTTATTCTATCACTTTAAGGAAACACGATACAAAGGAGAATGCGACAGCAGGAGCCCACCACCCAGTACAACCAACAGTGTTGTCCCTGGGTGGTGGTCACCATGCAGACATCTTTCTGTGCATGTGCAGAGGTTGTACAATGAAGACGGGCCCTCGAAACCTGAACCCCGACCCTGTGACGCGAGCAAGCCGCCTTGTGCGAGTGGGGTTGGTGAGGCCAGGCCTTCCCTGCCCGCGGGGCGGAGTGAGAGAGCCACAGCCGTGGAAATGCCAGGACAGTGCCTCACGCGTGGCAGTGAGGTTGTCCCTCATGTGCTGTGCAACTCAGAGACCCCAGGTTGCACTTGAACTTGACAGAAGGACGGGACACCAAAGCGAGATGGAAGCAAGTGCTAACTACAAGCTCGTTTATCTTCACTGCACGGGATATTATCTCCTAGAAGAACCTTCTAATGTGGAGAAAGAAAGCCCAGTAGACCGCTCGCCGTCAGCCTCAGATGTGTGTCTCTCCCATTTTCACCACGTCGGCCACGTTCTGCTCAGAAAGACGGGCGGTTTTCGTGTCCTCTTCCTCTGGCCTCTCCTTTCCCATCTCTGCATGTTTAGTGCTTATTTTATTTTCACATTGTCAGGGTTTGTAATATTTACGCTCAGTCCTGAAACCACAGTCCCCTTGTCAGTGGTCCCAGCTCTAGATTTAGGGGGATTCAGTGCCCCTTGCGAGCCACCAGCAGGCTCCCCTGAGTGTTTCGTTCCCATTCACCCCTGTGGGTGGTCTGAAGTCAGTGACGCTGCCACACGTCTCTGCTGACACCTTAGATCCTTGTCTTCCGTCTTACCTGCTGGCCTTCCCGACTGGGGCCCCATGAAGTTCCTCAGAGCGGTGGCTGCATGCAGAGGTGGGTGTGTGCCCGGCTCTGAGGGTCCAGTCCGTCTGGGGTGGCAGCCCTGTCCCTTCACGCCAGCCCTGAGCCCCTGAGCTGTGCTGAGACGTGGCCCAGGGGTGTGGAGTCATCAGGCCCTGCCCTGCTCTTCAGCTGGTACAGCAGGTCCTTGGCACCCTCGCCCGCCCCCTCTCCTGCTGTCCTCCTGATGGAACTCGGCCAGAGCGCCAGGAAGGAGCTTCGGGAAGCCGCTGGCAAATCGATATGCTTCCTGCTTCTTTAAGACAAGCCTCTCTCCACTGCCAGCCTCATTATAATGTGACAGAGCGGTTGCCAAGGCAACGGCACTAACTCTCCTGTCTCTGCAAATTTCCTAGCAAATGGGGCCAAACCCAGCGAGCTGTCGGGCACTTGTGTTCCCAGCCAGCAGGCTGCCTGGCCTTCACCCTGAGCCCAGCGCCCCACAGCCTCCCCGCTGGCCTCAGCCCTTCCTTCTCAGCCTCTTGGCCCAGACTGTCCTTGCTAAACTGATGCTTATGAATTGAGGACCTACTGTGTGACCGGCCAGACCAAATAGAGGGCTTCCTCGGGGCTGTGGGCACCAGCCTGGGCAATGCTGACGGGCTTGTCCCCAGGACTCATGGCTGCCTTCCCACCCCAGCTCCTGGGGGCTGGTGAGCCCTTCAGCCGGCTTCTAACCCTTAGGGGTCATCAGGGAACAAAGGGGTGCTGTCCCTTCGCTCCTGGACAGAGTGTAGTCACTTCAGAGATGGTGCGACCACACTGCCGTGACCATCCTTAGCCCTACTGTGTGTCGGCCTGTGCTGAGGCTTATATGTCTCCTCTCATGAGACCCCTGGGGCCTTATGGGGCTCCTTTGCAGGTGTTCACCCGGAAGCCTCAGCACTCTCTTGCCTCCAGCCCTCCTCATGTTCCCCCTGCAGAATGCGCCCCCCCGCCTCCCCTTGTCCATCTGGGATTCTAGGACTCATCCTCAGAGCCCCCCAATGCCCACCTCCACCACCGTGCAGACTGGTCCCACTTGAACTCACGACCACCCACGAGGTGCCCTGCCTCAACCCCCCAGCTCTGACTCCCCTGCTGCACTCACGCACGTGCCGCTGTCCTCCCCACCCCCCCACTGCAGCCCACCGCTGACGGCATGGTTCTTACACAAGGAAATCAGAGCTCTGGCGGGGTGGGGGTGGGAGGCTCCTGTCAGGAGACCCAGGTCCCAGGCCCTCTGCCTTGCTCTGTCCCCAGGGGACGGTCTGTCCCCAGAGGACGTCTGCCCCGTGTAGCACTGCCTTCCGCACCACGTGAGCTCCTTTCTTCTCTCTGCACCACTGTGCCCATCACCACCATGAAAGGTTGCTGTTGGTCCCTCTTAAAAAAGAAACCCTCTTTCCCTTTCACCCTGGGCCCACGGCCCCACCGCTCTGCTGCTTTACAGAAGCGAGGTCTTCACTGACTGTCCACACCCTCCCCTCCAGGTCTCTGCTCAGCCCAGCGCCCAGTGACTTCCAGGCTGCCAAACCCCGTGGTCATAAAAGAGTCTTCATCTCACTTGAAAAAGTCAGCAGCAGCCCAATCCCGTATACGCCCCCTGTCC